TGGATGGTTACCTTGGACCATTTTGACTATTTAAAAATGGCTTGTGGGTTCTTACTGGGTGAATCACAGGGCCCCAGGGGTTCTAGAAGGGGACCACTGTTGTATACTCCTGCAATGGATTCCATACCCATCTCTATCCATGCTTCTTCCTCAAACACTGAGGGAGGAAGCCTACCAGAAAGAGCCAAAGATGGAACCTGCAATTTCAGAATTATAGTTCGGTTTGGCTGTCATCTAGCTGCAATAGTTGGGGCAGTTCACCAAAAGGCTCTTCCCCTTAGCATCTTTATCTGTGAAATGCTTTGGACCTAGGAGATCTTTAAGGTCCCTTTGAGTTCTAAGCAGTCATGATTGCTCCAAAAACCTGAAATCATCCTTGCCATGCTGCCTTTCCTTTTTGTCATGTTGTGAGAATGGTCAGGAAAAGACATAAAGACATTATTCCCCAGACACACACTGAACTCGGTTTAGCATCCAGGATTGGGCCAACGGCTCTGAAATTATAAGAAAGGGGCTCACCTCTCAATCTTTTTTTTTGTTTTTAAGATTTTAATTATGTATTTATGTATTTATTTATTTATTTAGGAGAGAAAGCACAAGTAGGGGAAGGGGCAGAAGAAGAGGGAGAAGCAGAGTCCCCGCTAAGTAGGGAGCCCAAAGTGGGGCTCAATCCCAGAATCCCAGGATCCCAGGATCATGACCTGAACTGAAGGCAGACGCTCAACTGGGTCACCCAGACACCCCACCTCTCAATCTTATATGCTCATGTTGGTACAGATGAAACCTCAGGGTCCCAATATCTGAAAAGTTTCCTCTGGAGACTCCAGGCTGAGTTTCTTCAAATGGAAAACTGTACCATTTTCTTGTGACCTAAGTAATGACTTAAAAATGTTTCAGAAGCTATACATAAAATAAGTATCATGTCACAAAGTAGCCATCCTGGAGACTACTTTTTCTAAAGTTGCAGCCATTGTATAAATACATGTTTGAATTCCCTTTAGATTCCCTTTAGACAATCTGCTCATCTCAACCTAAGAGAACCAGGCTATGGCTTCTTAGCCACATTTAGTTTAGGGCCCCAAGTAGAATTAAATCGCCTGACCGATTTTTGCCATCAGCCCTATCTAAATGTCCCTCATAAGGATAGGAATTTGTCATCAGTGACAAGCTACTGAGGAATGTTCTGTAGACTCTGAAAGGGTCTGATGCCAGCAAAGGAAGCAGGGGAAGTGGGAAACATTTTTCGGGTCTTCTGCGGCAGCCACACTGCAGAGGAAAGCATGCTATGTGTTAGTTCTGGTGCATTTTCTTAAATCCAGTGATGCAGGTGTCTTCCCTCACTACACAGCTGCACTGAAGAGGTTTGAGAGGGACCACAGGTCATGGAACTGGAACACACTTCTGAGGCTTCCTGCAGGGTCCTGCATAGAGAGCATTCTAAGTAAGTCATTTCTGCAATTTGGGGCAGTGGTTTTTTTTTTTTTTTTTTTTTTTTAGACTTTGGGGGTCCAGACCCCTCTGAAAATATAATAAAAACCAGACCCACTTTCTCAGAAAGGTACCCATACCCTGAAATTTTGCACACTATTCACTATTTTAAGGGTTTTATGAACTCTGGAAACTTCTCCATACACCCCAAGTTAAGAACTCCTGCTCTCAAGGCTCTGGTTTAGTCTAGTGCTGCAAGGCTCTGTTGGCCAAACTGACCGGGTCAGCTCCATCCAGGGTATCCTGGCCCTTGGTAGGACCTTTCTATTAAAGCTATGAAGTCAAGCAGTCAAACAATCTCAGGGCAGTTGTCAGGGGCCCTGGTGCTGCTTAGGCACCCAGGAGGCCCTGCAGCCTAAAATCCAGCTATTCCCATGAGGACACCCTCACTGAGGAATTCCTGGGAGCTTCTGGGTCTGAGTCTGCGGGAATAAAATGCGGCTACAAGATACAAGCTGCTAAGGATTTGGGGAAGTTAGTATTACCAAGGTTTCCAGTAGATGGCCTGGGAGAGTCAAACTGAAAGAAAACTGAACCCCGCTAGAACAAAGGATACCTGGATTGGGAGACCAGGTCTGACTCATTTACAGATCATGAGGGGTCTCGGGGATCATCTGGTCCAACCCCTCCTGTCCCACCATTGTTGAGGGAACTCGCCCAAAGCCATGGAGCTGGTGTGAGGAAGAGCCACTCTTAAGCACCTACCAGTCTAGGGGGGCTCCTGAGACAGGCACTGAGGTCCCATCCTTGCAGTTACTGCACTCACCATGTGGGGGCACCAGTGTTCTCCTCGCCTGTGGTCACCAGACTATAAAAGCCTGATTTTCAAGCAGAGGTCAGCCCAGAAATCATGCTAAAAAAAGTACCTACCGCTTATTAAGCACTAGTGCAGGTCAGACTTTATATATATTATATATATAATATATATATTATACATATAATATATATATTATATATTATATAGCTTTATATATTCACATAACACATGTATATCCCTCACAGTCATGTTTCCAGCACAAAGAAGATAATGACCCTTGGATTTTAAGTAGCTCACTGAAGGTCACAAAACTCATATGCCTCTAGACACAGGTAAAACCTCCTCTCTGTGGTTCAGAATCCCCAAACTCTTTCTTTGGCAGTCTAATTCCTCACCAGATTCTACTGCTTTTCTCCTATTTTTCTCCTATTCCTTTTTCACTGACTTTGAGGTGGCTGTATATTCGATTTTCATGTTCACTGTAACTTTAATCCTGTTGGAGAAATCAGGGGCACAAAGGAAGACAGAGGAGTTGGTTGCATGGCCCTTAGAAGGCTAGGTGCTGAGGCCCAGGCTCCTGTGGGCTTTGGGGTTGTCCCAAAGCCAGGAGACAAATAATAATAACTAAAACATACTGAACTCTAGGCCAGGCCCAAGTACTAAGAGATTTATGTGAATCATCTCAGTAAGTCCCACTTTGGCCCAGTAAGTTACGCATTTCACTCCATTTTACAGATGAAGAAACTGAGGCACAGAAAGGTAAATTACTTGCCCAAGCTCCGCCCACTGAGTGGTGAGATTTGGACTCAGGTAGTCTGATGCAGAAACAGTATTCTTCACTTCACTGCTATTCTATAGATATACTCTTTTAGGAGTTTGTCCTTCCCCAACCTTATTGTCTTAGAATGATGTTTACATATACTTCTACAGCACTTTACAGTTTATGAGTGTTTTGCATCTAATATCTCATTTAATCATTCATTCAAAGAATACTTATCACTGAGTGTCTGCCAACTGCCTACCAACTGTCAAGTCCTTGCTGCTCCAAGTGCAGTCCCTGGACCCAGCAGCAACAGCAGCAGCCCCTGGGAGCTTGCTGGAAAGGCAAAATGTTGCACCCTGCTAGAAACCTGAGTCAGAATCTTCATCTAAATAAGATTCCCAGGTGATTCACTAGCATGAGAAGTTTGAGAAACAAGTTTGAGAAACCCTCCTTTTTGATATTTCCATGATAAATCCATATATATATCTCACTTACAACATGAATAGATACGGAGATACTGTGACTTGCTTGTCTTCCCACGGCTGACAGTGTGACAGTTCAACATAAAGAGCTTACAGCTGTGCTTTGCACATAGTATGTACTCAACAAATAGCTATTAGTATAAATGACAGAGTCAAGCTGTGAACCATTTGATTTTTTTTTTAATTTATTTATTTGACAGACAGAGATCACAAGTAGGCAGAGAGGCAGGCAGAGAGAGGAGGAAGCAGACTCCCTGCTGAGCAGAGAGCCTGATGCGGGGATCGATTCTTGGACGCTGGGATCATGACCTGAGCCAAAGGCAGAGGCTTTAACCCACTGAGCCATCCAGGCGCCCCAAACCATTTGATTTCTTGACTCTAGAGTCCTCTGGCCTCTGCAGAGCCTTCTTAGGTATCAGGCATTCATTCCAAAAGGCGAGGCAATGATTGTGGCTCTGGCTTCCTTCCCAGCTCAGCCAGGGTCTAGACAATGTGGATTTAGGGCTTCAGAAGCTACTGTTTGTGTACACCTGATCCTAGAGCAGGGGCATCCCAGTGGGGATGTTGTTCTCCAGAAGAGGCCAGATATAGAAAGAGGGAGACCAGAAGGATCTCAGGGGATCCTTCCTGGAAATTCAGCACCTGCAAACCTCATGCCCTCTGTCTCCAGGATCCCGCTGTGTTGAGGAACTTCAGTACCCCAAAACTTCCTAGACTTCCTGTCCTCACTTCCTGCCCCTATTCCCTTCAGGCCACCTGTACTGCTCCCTCGCAATCAGCAGTACACTACCTGAGAAAGAAATGGGCCTGTCTCCCGTGCTGACCAAGTCCTTCTCCTCAGGACTCTCTCCTGTCTATGGTTCCTGCCATCCTGGAGAGTTTCCAGAACACGTGCTCTGGCACTTTCCCAAACAACCCTGCTGTCTTCTTGGAAACCGCTGGCTCCCCATCCTCTTTGGAGAACTAACAATGGAACACAATTATTTCTGAATGGTCTACCGTTTTATCTTTATTACTCTCTGAAACAAAAATTTAAATGTTACTTTTGATAAAGCAAAAGTTGCTTATGACAAAATCAATAATACTCAAATAATATAAAGTGAAAGATCCCACTCTTTAAAATTTTCATGAGAATTTCTTGACAACCTCTTTCCTTTGCCAAATGACCTGAGCTTGGAAGCCGTTCAAAATCAACTCAAAGAAAAGTTCTCATCAGACACTTCACTTTTCTCTATAACCTCATGTCTCCGTAAGACAATAAACGTTCGTTCCAAAGGCGATTTGCCTCGTCTCTGCCACGTGCCCGATCTCTGACCCTCGGCCCTTCTCCCACTCTCCCTGGCCCTTTACTCCGCAAGTGCGGCCCCGGCCCCGCCTCCAGAGACCCCCCCCAGGGGAGGAGCCTCGCGCCCTCCCCAGTCCGAGCGGGGCCCCGCCCCGCCCCAGGGGCGGAGTACCGCTCTATCCCACGCCCCGGGGGAACTACGAGCTTTTCCCCGGCGAAGGAGGACCCTTGCGCCCCTCCGCCTCTCACCACTTCGAGACCTTTCCCGGCTTCCTGCTCCCGGGACCCTTCCGCATCCATCGGCGGGCGGAGAGTGCGCGGACGCGGGACGGCCGAGTCCTCTATGCACTGCGTCGGAGGCGGCCTGCGGGCCTCGCCGCGGGGCTGGGGCGGGCCGAGGGGCGCGGGCCCGGAGCCGGTGAGTGCAGCCGCCCGCCCTTCGCCGCGGCCGGCGCGGGCGGGGAGAGGGGAGCAGGCCGGCGTGGGGGGGCGGCGTAGGCTCCCTGCTCAGCGGTGCGCGGAGCCGCTGCGGTCGGGAATGCCCGCCTCTCCCGCGGGCTGCGCGCAGTCGTCGCCTGCTACCGGCGAGACATCGCAGTGACCCGCAGTTAGAAGAAGCATGCCTTACGGGACTGCACCCCGGCCCAGTTTTTTGGTTGGTTTATTCACCACTGTGCCGCCCTGCGTTTATCCCTGAGAGCCTCCCCCAGTGCCCTTAAACCTGTCTCCGAGACCCCCCATCTTCTCCCCTCACCCCGAGAAAGAGTTGGGAGAAGAAGCCATTTTAGTCTCCCAGGGGGAGTGAGTGGTTAACCTCAGAGAAGAGGACGCCCTGACGCCCCTCTCCGCCGCTAGACAGTAACTAACCACCCTCACTGCCGTTAGCGTCCTGAAGTCCTTTACGCATCTACTCCCTTAAGGCTAGGGCGGAGACAACTTGCTGCCCGCCTTTACATCTCCGTGAGTATACCTTAAATGTGCCCCTCTGTGAAAGAGATTTCAAGGATTAGGTGCATTTCAGATGAAAGCCTTTCCAGAAGCTTCGTTTTGTTGGAGAGGACCCGGGCACTGAGAGCAGGCTGAGGTTAAAGCAGGCTGCAGTCAGGAGGTCTCCTTGCAACCCAGCACTTTTGTCAGTATGGGCTCTCCAGTGTCTTGAAGATCTGACTGGGGGAAACGGCACTACTTTTTAGCAAATCTAAAGCACCACCAGGTGTAAAGTACACATTATTAGATGTGCTGCTAATTAGCTGTGAGAAGGCGTGGATATAGTAAGAGGCATCCTCGTTTTAGAGATAATTAATTGTGTTTTAGAATTGCTGAACTACGATAGCTACCCCCCTGCAGGGTATCCACGCAGTCCTTCAGGTTTTCATCATAACTTACAGAATCTTGTGCAGGGGGCGGTGGCAGGGGTGGGGAATAGGTGGTTAAGCAGTGTACCCTGGGTGAGGGGGGAGGGAAGGGTCTCTGAGCTTCCAGAAGCCAGGGTACACACCACTCAGACTCAAACATGTCAATGCTTTATACATAAATTCTGAGTGAACTTCGATGATTGGGGGCAGAGATAGATGGGGTCATAGATAACCATGCCTCAGGGTTAAAACAACCCCAGCTGTTTTCATTTCCCAGGGGCAATTATCTGTGGTTAGGCTGGAGGTAGCCTTTCCATGCTCTGAACTAACATGACCCTGTGTCTGCACTTGTCATGGTCCTGAGCTCCGCCTCCTCATCACATACACAGTGCCCCTACTAGTGGTCCTGGGAAGTCAGTGGCTTCTTTCCCCATTTCCGCCCGTAGGGATGCCAGAGGGACCATCTGTGAGGAAGTTCCACCGCTTGGTCTCCCCCTTTGTGGGGCAGCAGGTGGTCAAGACAGGGGGCAGCAGTCAGAAGCTGACCCCTGCCAGCTTGCAGTCTCTGTGGCTCCAAGATACACAGGTGAGTTCCTCCGGGCTTGTTTGACACCTCAGGTAAATGGGCAGGCTCCATCACCACATCCTGTGATTCCCTTAGAATTTATCTCAAGACTTTGGTGCCATCACTTCTTCGAGCGCAGGGCAACCACGTGAGGACCCCCATAGCGCTCATCCCCTTTAGGTCTGATGTTTAGGTCTGATGTTAGCCAGGAGTGGGCATTGCAGTGGCATGTGGAACTAGATAAAGTACCCTGTGAACGCATGGGCTGTAGATTCTGATTCAGAGAGTCTGGAGTGATTCTGGTCATCGAATGTGCTTCTGTGGTTGGGAACTAGCAGGGACGGAAGGAAAGAGCATAGCCTTCTGATCTGGATTCTGGTGGCCTCATCCATGTCCTTAGCATCAGGCAGAATTGCCTCCAGGGGCTCCCAGGGCTTCTGTGGTCTGGTTTGTGCCTCTTTAGGCCTGCTTCTTTCCCTGTCCCAAATCTCTCTTCCAATCCTGTCAAACTCTCTGGGGCTCCTCCACCAATCCTTATTGCCCATGGTTTTGATGTGCTGCTCCCTTGCTTGGGCAGATCTTCCTTTTTTCACCCCAACTCTGCTCCCGTTCTCATCCTTTCACGTGACCATGGTAATTCCTCGTCTTCAGGATTCAGCTTCTCCATCACATCCTCTGAGAAGCCTGGCCTGCCTGCTCTGAGGGTGGGGAGAGACTTCTCTGTGCTTGCTGGGGACCCTGTACTTCCTCCTAATAGATCCTTATTGCTGAGTTTGTCCTGCTGGTTGAGTGGAGGAGACTAAGCAACAGGGTAGACGCATGCCCTCATCAGTATTGTATGCCTAAGCACTTCGCTGAGTGCCGGCTCTTAGGAAGCATATATATGGTAATTGTCTATAGAAAAAATAAATTAGCTCTGCTGTTTAGCTGTGAGCTCCTAAGCAAGTTGCTTAATCTCTTAGCTGTAGTTTCTGCAGTTGTAAAATGGGGATAAATACTTAGCAGTTACAATTGTATTAAACAGACTTTATGTCTGGCACAGGTGCTTAATAAATACTGATTCTCTTTTTCCTGCCTTGTCCTTCGCACGCACCTCGTGGGTTATAAAACCATTCTTGGTTAGAACTGAAAGAGGTCTTCTAGACGTTCACTTACCTTTTCTACCTTTGGAGATGGGGCCTCAGAGGGAGAACCCTCCATCCAAGTTGATGTTGCTTGTGGGGGCCCAGGTCACCTGACCTCCAGGTATGCGCTCCTACTGGGAGAGTTTTTGAACTCTGACCAGACTGCTGCAATCTTGGCAGGGGCAGGATTAGATCCTTTCATCACTGGAACCCCAGCACTTAGCCCGTGCCTGTTACAGAGCTGGCTTGCAGAGATTATTTATGGAATGGCTGAATGGACAGACAATGTGTGGACGGGGAGCCTTGAGATGGAACTGGGAGCTGGTCTTCTAGTAAACCAAGGCAGAGATTGGTTTTGTGGGAGCCCAAGAACCCTGAGGGACACAGCCTTGAGGAACTGCCTGGCATGTAGGGGGCTAAGTTCTCATCACTGTGCTCCCTTCTTTGCACCTCTGCCTCCTAAGGACCTGAGAGTTGAATTTGGAAAGTAAGACCTGTATCTACAACAGGGGAAACTATTAGGTAACAGTGAATGGGAAGGAGGGGAGCATATGATTAAGGCTCATTTGAGGGCCTCAGCCGAGAAGAGGTGCTGTAGCCTGGAGTAAAAGACTTCATAGGGCTCCTGGGTGGCTCAGTTGGTTAGGTGTCTGCCTTCAGCTCAAGTCATGATCGCAGGGTCCCGGGATCAAGTTCCACATCCGGCTCCCTGCTTTGCTTCCACCTCTTTCTCTGCCTCTCCCCTCTGCTCCTGCTCTCTGTCTCAAATAAAATAAAATAACATAAAATCTTTAGAAAAAACAAGAAGGCTTCATGAAGGAGGTGAGATTTGAGTTGGACCTTGAAGGATGGAGGATTTAGATCGACCAAAAGGAAAACAAAGGGCACTTCAGGTTTGTGAAGCAGTTATAGACAGGCAGATGGAGATAGAATGAGCACACTGGGCTAATGAAGGAGGGAAGAGATTGGCTGCACTCTGTGCCACCTGTTTTTTCTGGCAAGCTCCTTCCCTGTCTTTACAGGTTGGTTTCTCCAGTTTCTGTATTAGGATTGTGTTTGCTTACTCATAACGGATTCAGAAGAACAGATTATTTGTGTCTGGAGTGTGTGGGGTTTTTTTTTTTCCTCCCTTGACATAATGTCAAGTCCAGAGGAGGAAGTCCAGGATGTTATGTGAGCAACGCGAGATCACTGGGCACCAATGATGCTCTTCCGCTCTCCCCTCCCTGGAGTGTGACCCTCATTCTCATGGTGATAACATGGCAGCTGAGATTCCAGCCATTACATTCTAGGCAGGAAGAAAGAGGAAGGAAAGGAGATAGGGCAAAAGGGACCTAGAAGCCTGTTCATTTATTTTAAAGAACTTTTCTGGAAACCACATTTGAGCACTCCTGCATATGTTTCACTGGCTGCCCCATCTCTAAGGGAGTCTGGGAGACAGATTTTTTAGGTGAGGACGTTGAAGCACCCTAAATCAGTAGCTGAGGTTATTGAGGTCCCTGTAAATTGGTAGATTTGTTAGTAGGGAAGAGGGGAGAGGGATATTGGGAAATAGTCAGTAGTCTCCCTGCACCTGGTCCATTATCTTCTCCTGAGAAAGAGTGCATGGGGGATAATTATTGAGTTCTTCCTTACATGGTTGTTAATGTTTCTATTCCATCCTAGTTTCGGCGGATTACTGAGACTACATACTGAGACTTTTAACCAGTCCTCCAACTTTTAAACAATATATAACAGCTTTACTGAGATATAATTTACACATACAATTCACCCACTTAAATTGTGCAGTTCGGTGGCTTTTAGTGTCTTCACACAGAGTTGTACAACCATCACCACAATCGATTTTAGAACATTTTCATCTCCCCAGAAAGAAACCGTGTGCCCATTAGCAGCCCCTCCTCATTTCACCCTTGCCTTCTGCTTCCAGTCGTAAGCAACCACTAGTCTATTTCCTGTTTCTATAGATTTGCTGGTTTGTTTGTTTGTTTTTGACATTTTACATATATGAAATTATACAATGTGTGTTCTTTTGTGAGTGGCTTCTTTTTTTTTTTAATTAATTTATTTGTCAGAGAGAGAGAGAGAGAGAGAACTCACAAGCAGACAAAGAGGCAGGCAGAGGCAGAGAGAGAAGCAGGGTCCCCACCGAGCAGAGAGCCTGATGTGGTACTCGATCCCAGGATCTTGGGATCATGACTTGAGCCGAAGGCAGCGGCTCAACCCACTGAGCCACCCAGGCATCCCGTGAGTGGCTTCTTTTACCGAGCATAATGTTTTCAAGGTTCATGTAGCACGTGTCAGAATTTCCTTCTCTTCAAATTCTGAGTTTTCAGAGGGAACGAGTGGAGCCTTCCTCATCTGTATGCCCCTCTGAACCTAGCACACTGCCTGGCACATTGTAAAAGCTCAGTTAAGGGTCAGCTAATTGAAATAACAACAGTGTCCCAGGAATTTAAAAGAGGGACAGTAGAAATTGCCATAGTTGGAGAGGACACAAAGATGTCCTGACCTAGGCATTTTTGACCCGGTAAATGTTTTGATCCTGAGGGGCATTTTGCATGTATTTTCATCAGCATTATACCAACATTGCTGAAATTGCATCAAGAAAATATTTTTTGGAATGAATTCTATCATGCCCACTTAATTCTTTTTTTTTTTTTTTTTAAGATTTTGTTTATTTAGGGGCGCCTGGGTGGCTCAGTGGGTTAAAGCCTCTGCCTTCAGCTCAGGTCATGATCCCAGGGTCCTGGGATGGAGTCCTACATCGGGCTCTCTGCTCAGCCCAGAGCCTGCTTCCTCCTCTCTCTCCCTGCCTGCCTCTCTGACTAGTTGGAATCTCTATCAAATAAATAAATAAAATATAAAAAAAAAGATTTTGTTTATTTATTTGACAGAGATCATAAGTAGGCAGAGAGAGAGGATGAAGCAGGCTCCCTGCTGAGCAGAGAGCCTGATGCTGGTCTCCATCCTAGGACCCTGGGATCATGACCTGAGCCTAAGGCAGAGGCTTTAACCCACTGAACCACCCAGGAGCCCCATGCCCACTTAATTCTTGCTCAGTTTTTTATGTAGTTCAGTTAAGCCATTTCTAATATGTGGCAGCAAACTGCTGTGCTCACATTTGCTGGTGAGTTATTCTGCAATTATTTAGAAAGGTAATGCCTTCTTTTAGGGAGAGGATTTCAAAGACTACTACAGTTAAGATTTTTATACTAATTGACAAATTGGAGATCGTATCAGAACTGTGGTCTCTAAGTATGTACTTTTGGAGGCCAAAAAAGTAACACAGGCATTTCTATTGTCAATGCCAGGTGTTTTGGTTTTAAAAGGCTGCTGGAACTTCGGAACATGCAGAACAGGCTCATCCTGGAATCTGGACTTGCACATTACATAGTAGGGCTAGCTATGAAAATAGAATACAAAGCACATGGAACATTCTTTTATATACGTTTCCTGTTCTCATCCACTTTTCTTGAAATCGTTTTCATTGGGGATGAAGTTAATTCTTTTCCTTTGTACATTTTATATACATTTTACAGTTTGATCCATTCATCAGTGTTTGTGTCAATACTCAATTTCTATTAATTGTCGCTTTCTTTTTTTATTGTGAGTTCTCTTGTGGCCATTTCTTCTACCAGATCCAATTTCATCGAGTGAGAGGTACCAAATTCTACAATGTGTAAAATACGTTGTGTATTTACAGCATCTGAAATGTAGTGTACTTTAGCTGCCATCCATTAGTGTATGGGGTGTGTGTGTGTGTGTGTGTGTGTGTTTGCTGCTTATTTCTGACAAGAAGTATTATGAATTAAATACAGGATGACAGTTTGTATTTCTTTCTCAGCTAATTCGTGAACACATAGGGAGCATTTCCCCTCCCTTATTCTAGGGTGGTCCTGCTCTCTAGCATGGATCTATGTTACTGCTAATCCAGTTCTTCTTGCTTTCAGTCACTTTGAAAACCATGTGCTAACTGCCCGTACCACTGGAGCAAAGGGCCAAAGGCAGGTCCAAAATACTCAGCTTGGGAAAGCTTCCTCGAAGAGGCAAGAAGGGATAAGTTTGCATTATAAACATTGGCATATACCTCTTTAGTCTTTCCTTTTCTGGGTCTGTAAGGCTTAGGCCATTTAGGCTGCTATAGCACAACAGCACAGACTGAGTGCCTTAAAACCAACAGAAATTTATTTCTCATAGTTCCAGAGGCTGGAAGTCTAATATCAGACAGCCTGGCAGTTTTGGTGTCTGGTGAGAGCCTGCTTCCCGGTTCATACACAGTCAGCTTCTTGCCTTCTTCACATCACATGGTGTAAGGAGCAGGGGAGTTCCCTGGGGCCTCTTTTATAAGGACACTAATCCCATTTGCAAGGACTTCACCCTGCTGACCTAATTACCTCCCGGAGGCCCACCTCCACATACACATTTGCAGGGGGAGGGGCACAAACAAGTCCATAGCAAAGACTGAGATCATGTTCTTTTTTTTTTTTCCAGGTCCATGGAAAAAAATTATTCCTTAGATTTGATCCAGATGAAGAACTTGGTTCCCTTGGCAACATCTCACTGCCAGAGTCTCTAGAAAAAGGAGAGAGGAAGGAGGAGGTCCAGGACCAAAAACAGGCCTTGGGGCCCAGCAGCCAGAAAACCTCTCAGCCTCCCTCTCAGTCCCTGGAGCATGTTGCTCCCAGTGGAGACAGTGGTTTGGAGGGTTTGCGGGGAGATGCTCCTGTGGGAGCTGCAGAGAGGTGGCTGCAGGTCAGCTTTGGTATGTTTGGCAGCATTTGGGTGAACGAGTTCTCCAGAGCGAAGAAAGCGAACAAGAGGGGCGACTGGAGGGACCCCATTCCAAGGTAATGGTGTGGTTGGGCAGGCTGTGGCTGTGGCTCTGCAGGTCTATGGTGTTTGACACGGCCCCCCGTGTGCAGACTTGGGGCTGGGCTCTGTGGGCTCACTCAGGTGGGTGTCCCACCGACTCGCCGGCAGCCCGAGTCCTAGCAGAGAGTACCCATGCTAGAAAGGGGACTGTGCCTGCATCCAGAGAGGGCTGGAAACATTCTGGGGCAGCTTAGAAAAAGGGAAGAACTTTCCCAACAAGCATGGCTCTTGAGAGTGGGATGGCACTGAAGGACGTTTTATGGCTTGACGAGTGCACTCTGAATTCAGGGACAGAATTGTCTTGGTTTTCATCTGCCAGTGGTGGGAAGGATATTTTGGTGTGTAAAACTCAGTCCCTGTTCAGGATTATTACCTCCGTGTAGATTTCCCAGAGGAGTCATTGCTGGTCACTGAGAACGAACATCCTCACAGCCTTGCATAAGTGCTCATTTAGCCGAATTCTTAACTAGCTTCGTGTTGTTTGTATACTTTTTATCAGTTTGTAGAGGCTTTTGTATATTGCATGTTAATCTTTGTGATATGTGATGCCAGTGTTTCAAGTCTACCTGTATCCTTTGATAGTGTTTGTGCCTTTTGACATTCAAGATTTAAAAACTTTTTAGGGGCACCTGGGTAGCTTAGTGAGTTAAGTGCCTGACTCTTGGTTTCGGCTTAGGTCACGATCTCATGGATCATCGGAAGGAGCCCCGCGTCGCATCAGGCTTCACATTCATCAGGGAGTCCCCTTGAGATTCTTGCCCTCTGCCCTCCCGCCACTCATACCTGCTCTTTAATCTAAAACTTTTAAAAATTTTTATTTATTTTTAAAGATGTTTATTGAAGTATAGTTGACATCAATGTTATATCAGTTTCAGGTATAGAAAATAATCATTCAACAATTCTAGACATTACTTAATGCCTACGATAAATGTGGTCATCATCTGTCACCAAACAATATTATTACTGACTATATTATTATATAATAATATATTATTTTTATATATTATTTATTATTATATATTATTATAGAATAATATTATTATTGACTATATTCCCTATGCTGTACTTTTCATCCCTGTGACTTCCTTATTTTATAACTGGAAGTCTAGACCTCTTTTTTTTTTTAAAAGATTTTTATTAATTTATTTGACGAGAACAATCACAAGTAGGCAGAGAGGTAGGCAGAGAGAGGGGGAAGCAGGCGCCCCGCTGAGCAGAGAGCCCGATGCGGGGCTTGATGCAGGGCTCAATCCCAGGCCCCTGATATCACGACCTGAGCCGAAGGCAGAGGCTTAACCCACTGAGCCACCCAGACACCCTGGAAGTCTAGATCTCTTAATCCTCTGTACCTCTTTACCCATCCTCCCACCCGCTGGGATTTTAAATTTTTATATAGTCAGTAATCAGTATTTTTTTTTTTTAAAGATTTTATTTATTTATTTATTTGACAGACAGAGATCACAAGTAGGCAGAGAGGCAGGCAGAGAGAGAGGAGGAAGCAGGCTCCCCGCTGAGCAGAGAGCCCGATGTGGGGCTCCATCCCAGGACACTGGGATCATGACCTGAGCCGATCCCTGCCCTGTTCTTGTGACTCTCCTGGGCCTTTTCCCATATGTTGGTTTTGTCCTTAGACCAGTAGCAAGAGGCTCTTTTGCAGTTCTAGGCCTTCTGTCTACACATGAAGAGAGAAGAGGGGAAGAGATAGTCATTTTCTAGAAGTTCAGATGAGCAAGCAGAGCTTTCTCAGAAAATCCCAGCCAACCTCTTATGGCCTGAAGCTGGTTCATGGGCGGATTGCTAAATTAGTCACTAGCTAGGGCAGTTGAAATGCTCTTCAAGAACAAGCCTCAACCCTAACTAGGTTTTCTGAATTTATTGTCACAGAGTTAACATATATCATTCTTTTATTTTTAAAATCTCTTCTTGTGAAGTTATGTCTGCCTTTTCCTTCTTTATGTTTTTTATTTTCATTTGTTGCCTACCTCCTGTTTCTTAATTAGGCTTACCAGAGTTTTATCAATTTTGTTGGTCTTTCAAATAAATAATATTAGTTTTATATACTCTATACGGGAAGAGTATTTTCTGATTTTCCAGACGTTTGAGTGGGGTCATCATTTTGTTGTCATTTTTTTATTGGATTGTGATTAGGATATCAGTCTGTAAGTTTTCTACTTTGGGCATATTTGCAGTCAAACACGTCATGGGTCTTTGCTTACATTTTGTGTACATAAATGAAGACAATATGTTCATAAAAAGCAAAACCTTATATAACTATTAAGAACAGGTTATTGCTTTGGTAATTTAAACACTCTATCCTTGCTTATTTTCTGTTTACTTAATATGCCAAACATGGAAGAGGAGTATTAAAATCCTCTAGGGTGATTGTGGTTTTATGGTTTCTCCTTGTCTTTCTAGTGTGTTTATGTGTTTGCTGCCCTGTTGTCCATAGCATCAAGGTCTCTGACTTCTTTGCAGCTTTTTAAAATAATAGCATACCCTTGGAGCGCCAGAGTGGCTCAGTCAGTTAAGCATCCGACTCTTGATTTAGACTCAGGTCATGATCTCAGGGTTGTGAGTTCGAGTCCTGTGTTAGGCTCCACACTGAGCATGGAGTCTGATTAAGATTCTCTCTTCCTCTCCCTCTGCCCCTGCCTTCCACCTCCCTCACTCTCTCTTAAAAAGAAAAGAAAAGAAAAGAAAAAAAGAAATAATAACAGACCTTCTGTTTGCCTTTGGTCTTGAACTCTGCTTTGCTTGATGATAATGGTGCCACTCTGTGTTTGGCCCTTGTAGTCTTTTTCCACTTAGTGTGTGCTTTACAGGTGTGCTTTTTCACTTATTTTAGGTATACTTCTTACAAATGGCGAGTTTCTGGCTTTTGTATCTCTTTAAACTCAAACTCCTTGTTTTGAAATGAGGTGACTATGGTATTTGGATTTTCTTCCTTTGCCATTTTATTATACCTAGTTTCTTTTTTTTTTCTGTTGGATTTTTCAAGTTTCTTTCTTTTCTCCTTTCCCCCCACCGTCTTTTATTCCTGTTGAGTAAGTAGCAAGTACTGCTATTCATCTTCTTTCTGTTGGTAATAATGTTCCCTTTAAATTAGACTCATATTTTTCTTGGTTAATAATGACCAAATGTTTAATAACATTTAACTAATAACATGTCTCCCTTCTTATTGAAACTGGTTTTTTGCTCCTTTCCTTCATCCTTCTGAGAGGAGGCCTTTGAAATAGTTCCACTTCAACCACTTCTTTTGTCCTGTTGTCCACCCTATTTCCTGCGGGAGTAAGGGGAGAGGTGAGATAGTTCAGAATTTTAATTCCAGATTGTTAACTATATAATATTATTAATTATGTGTAATTAAGTTAATTAATATTAAATATACATTAACATTATATCTTCTTTGTTTTTTTTTTTTTTAATTTTATTTATTTATTTATTTGACAGAGATCACAAGTAGGCAGAGAGGCAGGCAGAGAGAGAAGGGGGGAAGCAGGTTCCCTGCTGAGCAGAGAGCCTGGTATAGGGCTTGATCCCAGAACCCTGAGATCATGACCTGAGCTGAAGGCAGAAGCTTAACCCACTGAGCCACCCAGGCACCCTCTCTTCTTTGTTTTTATTCAGTTTTGCAACCCTTTATTTTTGTGTGCATAATGCTGATTAACAAGTCTATTCAGTAAAATTAGAATTCCAGTGAAAAGCAGTTTTTCCGTGAAAGCCTCAGGGCTCCATTGTATGTCAGACAGCAGGAAGTAGCACTGAATTTGGTGTGAGACTTAGTGACCTTATTTACAGCCTCCAAGGAATCCTCCTGGGTAGTGATTTTTCGATTTTTCGCTGTGCTCTGATGACAAGCATACCAGCTTCTGTGCGGATGCTTCTCATCTCAGCAGCAGAGCGATTTGGACACAGTCACTCCAACAACTCAAATTTGACATCTCTGTCAACACTCATTGAACGAGCACAAATCTCAGAAATGTGGGTCCGACCCTCTAGATCAGGTAAGCTAAATGCAGCCTTTCTGCCCAGTCCCCCTGGCCTCATCAGTGCCGGTTCTGAAGTGTCCGGTCTGGTGGTGGCCATGAGCCCTTTCCTCTTACCTTGAGGATCAAAACTGCCCAGTTGATTGCTCAGTTTCAGGATCATTCTCTGCACTTCATTGTCTCCTTCAGCCACATCCTCCACACGAGCTCCTCCAGAAGCATCCGTTTTCCCTGAAGGAGATAAGGCAGGCTTTTTTTGTTTTGGTCATTTTAAAGAGTTCCTGAACCATTCGAGCCCCTTCACCGACATTCTTTAGTACAAGTTCAGATCCAGTAACCTGGAAAGCAGACATCAGCCCTTTTAGCAACTGCCCAAGCACAGAATGTCTTGCCTATACCTGTGGACCAAAGAGCAGCCCACTCTTGGGAGGCTCAATGTCAAGGTTAACAAACCTGTCTGGATGAAGTATTGGGAGCTCAACTACTACTCAGAGTTTCTGAATCCGTTCCTTAGAGCCAGCCACATCACTGTGTGTGACATTAGGTTTTTCCTCCACCTGCATCATGGTAGCATAGAATATGAATTTCGGAGGCATAGAATATGAATTTGATACTTTGTTCTGTCCACGCCAACTCTGATTCCTTCTTCAGGGCAAGTAGGTGCTACTTGATCACTGAGATCCACCACAGACTTGGCGAACTACTTCACATTGATAATGTACTTTGGGTCCTCCAAGTCCACACTGATTATCTTTGTACACCTCGCAACCCTCAAAGGCTCTTCACTCTGCAGTGTTTGCTTTTCTGCAGCCAAATCCCTGAATGCTGGTGGACCAGGCCAGTGAGCTCATTAAGCTTCTTAAGACGTTGTCGCATGTCATCTTCAACCCGCTCTATCTGTCTAGAGTCAGTGCTCTGACCATACGTGTTCAGCAAAATGCTGTCCCCCTCATCCAGAGTTAGGCTTCTCGTCCTCCTCCTCCTCCTTGTTTTCCACGGATCAGCACTGAGGTAATCTGCCATTTTAGGAGCTCCAAGTGCCTCAGCTCCTTAGTGATCACACAGCACCTCTCTCGTTTCCAGTGGTCAACAAGGGTATCTTCTGATTCCAGAATTCCTTCTTAACGTGCTACAGTTCTCAGCTGTGCTATCATCCAGTCCTCTGGATCTCTCACAATAAATATTATGCACCCCAGGGCTGCCCCTTCTGTCTTACCCTTTTCCTCTCCCCTTGGCTTGAGGTCCCTGCTGATCTCATTTCCGTTAGGCATTTATTTTTCCTTGAGTAATTACCTCAGATACTATGGTAGATGTGTCTCTGAGGCCTTTTCCTCTGAAGTTGTCCTGTTGGGGCACAGTTGGTTGAGTGTTCAACTCTTGATTTCAACTCAGGTTGTGATTTCGGGTTGTGGGATCAAACCCCGATTGGACTCTGTGCTCAGCACAAAACCTGCTTGTCCCTGTTGCTCTGCTCCTCCCCACAATGACACACATGGGATCTCTCTCTCTCAGATAAATAAAATTAAAAAAAAAAAATTGTCCTTTTGTTTCCACGCCAGAATACCACCTAGGTCAGATATATGGATATTTCCCTTCAGATAATGGAGTCTGGCTGATTATCTGCCCTTACATAGTAACCCATTGTGTCTTTATCAAAGATCAGAAAGTTTCTCCTGTGTCCTTGGAATTCAGGAAGTTCAGGGGCATACGGGTGGGTATGTATTTCTCGTTAAATCTTGCCGGGACTGGGAGCGGTACCTCTCTAGTGTCCATTTCTCTGTCCTTCGCAACAAACTCTGCTTTTGTGCAGGTACACACCTCCTGAGCTTTGAGACTTCCATAGGTCATGTTGTCTTTAGTGAACATGTATGGCCCTGATCAGAAAGATGGAGCATTATATATATGTTTTAATTACTGCATTTAGCCCTGAGAACCATCCCTTTTCTCTCTTGGGGTCTTAGCTTCCCTGGGTGAATCTTGACTGTGGAGTGGGAGCATTATGGACTGTGTGACTTAACTCTTGAGTGGGAGCTGTATGTACGTGTGCCCTGAGCCGCACGCACTTAGGACCTTTTCTTTCTTCCAGGTTGGTCCTGTACTTTGGTGGTGGCGGCTTCCTGGCATTCTATAATTGTCAGATGTCTTGGAGCTCTTCCCCAGTGGTCAGACCTGCCTCTGACATCTTGTCGGAAAAGTTTGATCGAAGACAAGCCTTGGAAGCTTTGAGCCAGGATCAGCCTGTCTGCTATACCCTGTTGGACCAAAGATACTTCTCAGGCTTAGGTATGAGTGATGGGAAAGGGATGAGACCCACCACCTGTGTGCTTGAGGCAATCACTTAATCTCTTTAGTTTCACTTCTTCATTTTTTAAACTAAGGGAGTGAGGGTCGCCTGGGTGGCTCTGTCCATTAAGCATCTGCTGTAGGCTCAGGGCGTGATCTCAGGGTCCTGGGATTGAGCCTCACATCAGGCTCCCCCCCTCAGCGGGGAGTCTGCTTCTCCCTCTGTCCCTCCCCACCACTCATGCTGTCTCTCTTTCTCCCCCTCTCTGTCTCAAATAAATTAGTAAAATCTTTAAAAAAAAAAAAAAAAAAGTAAATAAACTGAGGGAGTTAGATGAGGCAGTTTCTAACTTCTCTCCTGGCTTCAGAATTCACATCCTAATTACATTATCATCTGGAGTCTGCCCATGGCCACATCACAGAATAACTTCCTAAAGGGCAGGAGTCCTGTCTTCTTTCTCCTTGAATCGTCCACTGCCTGGTGTAGCGCCTGGCACAGCGGAGGTACTCAGTTACTCAGTCAGTATCTGCTGGGCACCAGAAGCTGTGCAGTTTACTGAGGGAGAGCAGTGCGTTTGTTAATGGGGCCTCTCGGGCAGATGGCGCTGCCTGCTGGCAAAGCACAGATGCCTCAGGCCTCCATCAGGATCCTAAAAGATATGGGTAAAGAAGCAGGTTCCCTCCCTCTGTTCAGGTGTCATGCACAATGAAACTGTGAGCATTTTCCAGGGGGAGGGAAAAGGAGCTGAGCGATCTGAAAACCAGAACAGCTAACTCACAGAACTAGAAGAACTGATTGCTCTTACTACCTCAGCAGAGGCCTTAGTGCCCTGTGACTGGCTGCTGAGGCAGTTGAGGGAACTGATGACAAAATCACCTCATATCCAAGGCCTGATGGTGCCTATTGCTGGCACAGCTCCCCTTAGGAGCGGGGAGGAGGCCCGGGGGCTCCCCAGACAGCGGCCTTGCATTTTCACATTAAGATTATGGGAGCCCTTGTGCCCTGAGGGAGAAAGAGACCTCCAGAAGCAGCCTTTGGGTTATTTATAGCAGGACCTCATGCTCTACTGATTAGTCATTGTTACCAACAATATTAGTAACAGCCGACATTTTTCGTGTGACTATTAACGTGCTAATCGTGTGGCTTCAGCCTTCCTGCTATTCTGTAGGATAATGACTCGTTAGTTTTCCCTTTCCTCACACAAAGAAGCCAAAGCAAAAGACACATTGCTGGTATGTGGTACAGCTGAGATAGGAATCCAGGTAGTTTGCCAGGGAATTGTAGAGAAACAGTTGTGTATGATTAGGGGTGTGATTATGAAGCCCCTGCAAAGAGCAGTGATTTCATTCATCCATTCATCCCACACAAGCTGAATGCTTGCCTTCTACCGAGTTCAAAGTCTCACCTTCAAGAGGTTATTAATGGCCCAGCAAGCATGGGCTCAGTTCACTGCAATTTCAGATAGATTGTGACAGATGCCTGGTAGAAGTTAAAGTGCACTGTTGGGACATTTTGAAGAGAGTTATTGATTCTAGAAGGAGGGGTCAAGACTAGCTTCACCAAGAATGAGGCAGTAGTAGAAAAATAATGAAATAATACCTCCTAAATGATTTATATCTCAGGCATTATGCTTGACATTTTAAATAATAGAGGCTAATATTTATTGAGTACTCTCTACATAACAGCCACAGTGCTCAATGTGTGTGTTTGTGTGTGTGTGTGAGAACTCTCATTTACTGCTCACAAAAGCCAGGTAAGTGATCCCTATTTTATAGGTGAGGAATGTGGAGCTTATAGAAGCTAAGGAACCTGCCAGGGTCACATAGCTAGTATCTGGTTGAGTGGGGTTCAAATGCTGGCAGTCAGCTTCCATAGGCTGTTTGGATAACCTCTTTCCTATGACATGGGCCACACACAAGTTTCATTTCGTTTTGTCTCCACAATAGCCTTAAAGGTAAGTATAAGCAAATCCAGTTGGCAGACAGGGAGGTGGACTCAGAGTAGGTGACTTGCCCGAGAGCCCGCAGGCCGTGACAGGGTTGGCCCCAGTCATCCGCAGGAGCCCTCCCGCTGCCATTGTGCCAGCTTCCATTTGTTTTGTCAGTTTTGTGGATGGGGCTCATGACCGAGGTGTTCTTTCTCCTTCCCTTGTCCTCTCCCTGCCTCCCCCCAGGGAACATCATTAAGAATGAAGCCTTGTACAGAGCAGGGATCCATCCCCTTTCTCTTGGCTCACTCCTCAGCCATCAGCACCTCGAGGCCCTATTGGATCATGTGGTGGAGTTCAGTGCGGACTGGCTTCAGGGCAAGTTCGAGGGCAGACAGCAGCACCCGCAGATCTACCAGAAAGAACAGTGCCCTGGGGGACACCGGGTCATGAGAGAGGCGTTTGGGCCTCCGGGTGGCTTCCAGAGGCTCACATGGTGGTGCCCGCAGTGCCAGCCCAGGTTGTCTCCTGATGAGCAAGGGCAGGTCCAGCTCTCCTAGGGGACTCCTGCCCGTCTTCACAGAACCTGGCCCTTGAGGGGCTGTGATTCCTGAATGTCCAGAGGGCGGGTGTTGTCAGTGCTTGGGCTTGGCTACAGGAATAGAGGGTGGAGGGATGGGTGTCAGGACTGTTGCAAGCCGTGTCACTGGACTTGGGTTGAAGGCTGTTCCTACAGGATTAGATGTTTTTTTGCTTCTCTCATTTCTGTTAATTCTTCCATCTAATTCTGCCATTGTGGAAGATGATGAAAAGTCATGAGGACGGTACAGGGAAACACCTCCCAGTGGGGCATTGAAATGAAAGTGCCTGCAAAACAGCTCTGCCTCCACATTGCTTTGTATGTGCTTGGTTTTGTGTTTGAAACCTTGGTTGGTTGTAAGGCTCTCCATTTGAGAAATGGGACAACAGAAGTCTCTTTCTTTGTTCCCCTAGGGGGATCCAGGGGTGAGGATGAGTTGCACACGAGAGGAGGCTGAGGCTGACTCATCCTCCTGCGTGGATCCTTACCCATGGGATGGAGACCCCGAGAGAAGGGCCAGAAGAGGAGAGGGACCAGGGAATTGGCCACCTTCCTGCTGTGCCCAGTGGGCTTTAGAAAAAAACTACTTCTCTCTACAGTAAGGTGATATTTTTGTGATTGTTGGTGTGTTGAACAGTGCAGGAATCAAGGGTGGTAGAGACACACTGTCAGGTTGTTAGCGACAGCCAGAAGAAAGTAGGACAGTGACATGAAAATAAATCTCTCTGTTATTTTCTGTTGTCATTTTTATTTGGCGGTCAATGCTCTCACACTGTAAATAACTGGGCTCCTAGTGAAAGTGGCTATGTAGGGCTCGCTGAGTTGGCCTGATGGGTCCACTTAAAAGGAACAGGGTAGGGAGGGGGTGAAAACACACCTGCTCTTCTGCCCATAGGTGCCCTGCCAACTTGAAATCTGGCAGAGCACAGGATTTCCTCCTGTTGGACCAGCCTCTGGCCTACAGCAGATAGTGAATTGCATGAGCAAAATTGAAAACAGTGGCTAATGTTTCCATCTTCCTTTACTCTCATCTCTCTTACATCATCAAGATTTGTTACTGGGGAAAGCCACTTTATGGCAGACCTGTAACCTGTAGAATAGTTCATCTGTACTTAATACTTCCCAAAGGAAAGCCTTTAGCCTAATTCTTGCCATATCATCTGTAGAAATCCCCGTGGTGATGAGTACTCTGTCACTGTGTTTCATAGGAGAGGAAACTGACCTCCAGACTAGAGGCTGAGGAACTTGCTTAAGATCATACGGTTAACAAGGCTCAAGGGCGCGCACTTACCATCCACCACTTCGTGGTCCCCTCTGTATCAGGCCTCTGTAGCTGTGCCCCAGCACCGCCCCAAGCGCTGACTGCCATCACTAGGGGGATGTTCCTGAAAGCAGCCAAGCTTCCTTTGTTCCATATTCTCTGCAGATAGGCCCCTGGGAAGAAGCAGCAACTGTGGTGTCTCATAGGTGAAGGGCTCTGTCATCAAATAATGCGCTACCCCTTCTCGGAGCTTGGTGGGGCTCATAAAAGCCTCCAAGAAATTCTGCAGTAGAACAAAGTAAAACACTTTGTGTTTCTAAACCTTATTTTACCATGAAACCCATTTTACCTGTACTCTTCTTTGGAACAGGGTGTAGAAAAGGCTGTAATCCATTAAGATCCAACCTTTCTACACGCATCCTTTGAATCTGCTTTCAAATGTCCATCTCCGAGGTCTGTTTCTCCTTGGGGTCATTGTCTGCAACCAGTTTCAGCAACCCCCTGCGGTCATGACAGTTCTTACATTGAATCTAAATCCTTTCTGCTTTGTTAAGTATCTTACTCACTGTACCTCATTTATCTCTTTTACTTGACAGACATGCCAGTTCTTTGGGCCTTAGGTTAAGTATGCCTAAGGAAACAGCACGGTCTGGAGACTTAAATGACGGAAATTGCTCCTCTCGCAGTCCTGGAGGCTGGAAGTGTCCCATCAAGGTGCTGGCAGCTTTGCCTCTCCTGAGCTTTCACTCCAGGCCTTGCAGTTGCCTTCTGTGCCCAGGCCTTTTTCTCTATGTGTAGGCACTCCTGGGGCCTCTGCCTCTCCCTACAAGGACACCAGTCCTATAGATGGGTTAGGACCCCATGCTTATGATCTCATTTCACCTTAATTACTTCTTCAAAGGTCCTATCCAAATATCCTACATGGTAGACTAAGGCTTCAGAGTCAGAATTGGCTGGGGTGTGTGTGGTGAGGGTAGTGGACACAATTCAGTCCATAACAGGATACAAAGGGGTTTTGGAGAGAATCTTCAAATTTTCAGAGGCCATCTCTCTGCACTTTTGTTCTTTTAACTTAAATTAGTTGGTAAAACCCTACTTCCAGACCAGATGGTCTGAAAATCCTATTTGAGTAATAGATTGCTGTTTGTATCTACAAGAATATATTTACTTGTGTGTGTGTGTGTGTGTGTGTGTGTGTCATGTGAAGATACATGTGGGGGGGGGCACCTGGGTGTATGTACACATACACACATGGATGTGTGTACACACACATCCATGTGTATCCTTAATTCTAATTGACCTTTCTAACCCATACGGGTAACAGAAGTGTGAAATGTTAGGCATAAGCTGGGGCAAAGATGGTGTCCAGCCCGTTTCCTCTAAGTCAACATCTGAGCAGTACAGTGGGTCCAGAGTACAGGAGGGGAATGAGATGGGGAAGGTCTGGAGACATGAGGGGAGGACTGGGTGCCATGGCCCACGCGTGTGTCTGCACCCATTGTGATTGGTAGAGAAAGAAAGAGAAGTGCTATTGCTGTTGTTGCTAAAAGTGCTAGAACTGGAAATAGCAGTGGGAATGGAAAGGAGGAAGGGTATAATGGCATCATGGGGTCGGGCTCCTGGGTGAGCTGGGAGTCGGGAAGCTGAAGATACTCAGGCCTGGCACTCACACTAGAGGAGGCCAGCTGCTGACTGACAGGGAAGTCAGCTAGGAGCCGAACAGGTTCTGTGGAGGAAGGTGATCAGATGTGAGGCATGTTGAGCTGAAGGTACCTGTGCGGCACCCCAGCTTGGGGGAGAGCGTAGTTAGGACATAGGCTGGGAGGCACAGATTTGGGAGCGTTCCTCATAGTGGGATGGTCAGTGAGAGAAGGTTAACAAGGGCCGTCACATGGCATGAGAAAAGATGGCAATCACTGTGGAACCATAGAGAAAGTCTTGTGCTTAAGTGGCGAGAGCAGGAAGAGAAGCCAGACTGTGAAAGATCAAACGTAACAGGAGGAAAAATAAGCTTCAGGTAGAAGTGAATAGTCCATAATACTGGCTTATGCTGAGTTGAAGGAGAATGAGAAGAGGCTTTTGGATTTGTCAGTCGATCACATTTGAGGTCATGATCACCTCCAAGAGAGCAATTTGTGCAGAGCGGCTGCCAAGTCTGAAGGGGCTGAGACCTGCATGAGAGCTGAGGAAGTAGGAGCGGTGAGGGTGTTCTGCCCTTCAGGATGGCTAGTCCTGAAGGAAATGAGAAAGAGGAGGTCAGGGAGGAGAATCACTTATTAAAGGGTGGTTATAACGTGAGGATTTGTATATGAGGTGTTGAGAGCACAAACAGTAGGAGGGCGAGAGCACGCCAGCACCACCAAGATAACTGGGCAAGCACAGGAAGACAAAAATAGATCCAGAGAAAATTCGCTGAAGGTGAGGTCTTTTGAAGTACAAAGGAGGAAGGGGAAGGTTTGTAACAGCTGTCCTGGGACTTTAGAGCCGCTTAGGGTTCCAGGGAAGGGTTCCAGAGTCACACTGGGGGGATCCAGGCTAGATTGCTTCACCTCCCAACTTTCTCCTGCAGGATCCAGTAGCCGAGGATCAAATCCAATGATACAGATGCTGTATGAACCCCTAGTCAAAGGTGGTCAGGGTAAGAATGGTAGAAAGCCAAGAGGGGGAATGAGAATATTTACTATTGAAAAATTTTATTATTATTTTTAAGTTACAGATATCAAAAGATTCAAGTGATATGAAAGTTTACAGAACAGAACATGGAAGAGTAACTCTCACACCTGCTCCATCCTCTCAGGAGCAGACTTCATCTGATTTCAGGGACTTGATAAAGTCCATAGAGTGGGGGAAATCGAGCAGCTAGCCGCTGAGTTGTAGGAGTTGTTGGGACCATCAGAATTAGAGCGAAGTACGCGGACCGGGTTCTGTGTGGAAAAAATGTAGAAACAGAAACGTGGACAGCTGAGTGAAGCCACAGCGGCCATGCTCCCTTCTGAGATTTTATCCATCATGGCAGGAAGTGCTCAGAAAGTTTCATTTAGTCCCCAAAGGAGGGAGGGAAAGGAGCCATAAGTGGAGTGAATGAGGGAGCTAGAAAAGAGGTAATGGGGGTGTGTGTGGAACAGTGGGAATTACTCAGATTGTCCGTGTGCCTTCAGGATGGAAGGAGAGGTCTTTTGCTTGGCAGAATTACAGGAGAGGGATGGGATACATAGATACAGGTTTCACTCAGAAGTAAGGAGAGGTGAGATTTTTTTTTTTTTTTTCAAATTTATTTATTCGACAGAGGGAAAGAGGGATCACAAGCAGGCAGACAGGCAAGCGGGGGTGGGGGGAAGCAGGCTCCTTGCCAAGCAGAGACCCCAATGCGGGGCTTGATCCCAGGACCCCGAGATCATGACCTGAGCTGAAGGCAGAGGCTTAATCTACTGAGCCACCCAGGCGCCCCAGGAGAGGATTTGTACTCAACAGATTCTAGGGGAAAGATTTATTTATCTCCTGAACTTGAGTTTTGTGATAATCGATACAGTGAAAAACTTGATATTTAATGTTAGGTTTCAGTGGCCCTAGCCATTCAGTAAGTATTTCTGACATGCCTCTTAAATGCTGAGTCTGGGAACACAAGGAGGAAAAACACAAGAAAACCCCTACACTAACAGGAGAGGGTTGGCTTATTACCAAGAGTGTTAAAAGTCTTTCAGTAGGGGGGCACCTGGGTGGCTCAGTCATTAAGTGTCTGCCTTTGGAGCAGGTCATGATCCCAGGGTCCTGGGTTTGAGACCCATTTCTGGCTCCCCACTCAGTGGGAAGCCTGCTTCTCCCTTTCCCACTCCCTCTGCTGTTGTTCTCTCTCTCTCGCTGTGTCTCTGTCAAATCTTAAAAAAAAAAAAGTGTTGGGGCGCCTGGGTGGCTCAGTGGGCCTTTGCCTTCAGCTCAGGTCATGATCCCAGAGTCCTGGGATTGAGCCCCGCATCGGGCTCTCTGCTCGGCAGGGAACCTGCTTCCTCCTCTCTCTCTCTGCCTGCCTCTCTGCCTACTTGTGATCTCTGTCTGTCAAATAAATAAATAAAATCTTAAAAAAAAAAGTGTTTCAGTAGGTTAGAGAAAAAATAGTGTGTGGGGTGGGGAGGATATAAGTGTGCTCTGAAAGTTCCAGTTCAGGGGCGCCTAGGTGGCTTAGTCAGTTAAACTTCTGCCTTCTGTTCAGGTCATGATCCTGGGGTCCTGGGATGGAGCTCCACATCCTGCTTCCTGGTCAGTGGGGAGTCTCCCTCTCCCTCTGTGCTCTAGCACTTCTTTCCTGTCTCTCTCAAGTAAATAAATACAATCTTTAAAAAAGTTCCAGTACAGTCCCAATATAATCAAGTGTGTGTTTTAGATAAATTACTCAAGTTGTCACATGGGAATGCATGAAGAGAGATGGGAAGTGGACTTGAAAAATAGTTTGGGAGAGAAGATGGGGCTTAAACCAAGATGGATCAGA